GTATGCAATAATGAAGAGACACAATTTGCTACCGGCAATGACAAAAGAGAATGCAGGTTGGAGCAGCTATGCATAAAGATACTTTGAACAACATGTACCATATAGGGTGTACTCACGCAAGGCTAGCGAGCGGTGTACTCTGGATACATCACCGTATTTGTGTTCGTGATGGCAGACAGCGGCGCGCGCACAGCCTCACGGGCCGCACTATTCAGCGAATCTTTGTACGGTTCAGGTGACACCATGCATGAAAAAGGTGTCGCTCTTGTGCAACAGTCTGCTGTTGCACAAGGAAAAAAGATGAACTGGAGAAAAAAAGACAAGGACAGCAGGCATTGCAGACTCCCAGTTTCTGCAAATCCCGAGAGTCCGAACATGCGTGCAAAATGCTCGGTCACTCACCCTGAAACGACAATGACTCACTTCCATCAACGGGCACAGCCCACACAAAACACGACAAGCGGAGGGTATGTGAGCATGTTAGTGAATTTGGTCAGTGCACGTCTGTTTGTGTGGGGCTTGTGACTTTCCACATGACAGCACCTCGGGCCGTGCGAAGGTGGCGTCGTGGAGTTGGGGCAACGTCCTGTGATAGAGGCGGCTTTGGATGGAGAGACAAAGCACAGGGTTCCTGAGGAAGCAAGAATCGAGAAATCTGTGTGGGGGACTGCCAACACTTGCGAAGTCGCTGCTTTTTTTTAATGCGATAGCATTCCTTAGCCCCTTCACCCGGATTTCGCGATACGGTATCTGGCCTCGTAACAAGAGGAGGAGGTAAGTCTGCGCCGAATGTGTGCGAAGCGACAGTACGCACTCCTTCACATCTGCACCTTATTCGAAAGTGGCAGAGAATAGATGAGCACTCCACACGATTGGCTGTGGCGCAAGGAGGTAAATCCGCGCCTCACATACATGTGGCTTTCGACTTCCCTCAACCACCGCAGGCGATCGACCGAACGACCCGTAAGGGTTTTTTACCATCCAGAAAATGCCTGAGGCTTGAGCAGAGAAACATAGCTGGGCCGCCAGGCTACAGGAGCGTTGAGAGCCCTGAAATCGCGACGAAAAGGGAATCCGCCGCAAGAAACGACGCTGATGCTGGTGGCTTCATAAGGCTGTAGGAAGCGGGTAGCAGCAAGCACCTGTCCAATGAATGGGAACGATGTTTATCGTTGCTGCATGGCGGTACAACTGCCGAGCCCACCAATTATTCATTTAGATTGTACAAAATTGTACAAGCACACACTGCATTTTGACATCAAAGACCAAGACGAGCTTATGCTTCCCATTCTCCATTAAAAAAAAAATATTTCATATATTATCAACTTCTCTACTGAGTCAGACACACCTGGTGAGTCTCTGGTGAAAATAGTTAGTTGTCCACTTCTTCACGCCAGGATCGCTTTCTGCTTACGTCTCCTATTTTACTGTTTAGTTTCCTGTATTAGCCTTTAAGGTATTTGGTGTAGGCTTGGAGTAAACGGCTTCTTAAAAGAAACACGAAATGATTTTTTTATCAGCCTTTTCCTCCTCAGCTTTAATCCTCGACACAAAAGTGAAATGAGAAACGACGTAGCCGTGACGTGATTAGGCACCGGATGCGATAACTCCAAGCTTACACTGCTTCCACCGTGGTTTTTAAGCACTCTATTGAAATTGTCATTCGGATCTCATAATAAGAGCCGTCAGGGCACTGATTGGTCACGAACTCGAGTCAAATATTTGTCGATGGATCGATTGTTAACGAGCGCATACGTTCGAGTAGCGTAGTTCTCGTGTCCAATGCGTGCGCTGGAAGAATGACAGGCATGCGAAAGCATGCTTGTCAATCTTCCGCTCCCTTATTTCGTCTGCGGCGTATTTGCGTCGACGGCAGATCGCGCCCTCTCCTCGTCGCTCTGACCTTGGACGCTTCGTGTGACGGGCGCGTAGACGGCGCGGACACGCAGCGCCATGGAATGGCGGTCGTTGAAACTGACGCGAAGCGGCCAATGGGAGCCACGATCCTTGAAACTATGACGCGCTCCAGCCAATGGGACCGAAACCGAAGTCCATCAGCTTTACTCCGCTCCTTTGGGATCGAGGGGACTAGGTGCCATTTGGCTAGGCGTTTCGTCCGGTCTCAAAGCTGGGAGGCTGTGGGAGCCCGCTTCACTTGGAGAAATTAATTAAAGGGGTCGTGAAACAATTTTCCTGCTTCTTCCTCCTTAGCTTTAATCCTCAGCTCAAATGCGAATTGTGAAATCACGTGGTCGTGACATTCCTTCGGCACCGGTGCGATGGCTCCTATAGCTTCCACCGTGCTTTTTATGCACACCATAGAACTTGTCATTCCCCAGTGACAATAAGTTCCGTCAGGGCACTCATTGGCCACGAACGCGAATCCAAATATTTGTCGACAGATTGATTGTTGACGAGCGCATACGTCCGAGTGACGCAGTTTTCGTGTCCAATGCGTGAGCTGGGCTCTGCTGACGTCAGTTTGGCACCGGTGACGCGCTTTTGGAACCGCGGATGTATCATAGTGAAAAGGCGGAGAGCTTTCGAAGGCGAGAAGGTACAAAATAGTCCGCTATATTTTCAAATGTTCGTACCGAAAAGCTGGCTTTTGACTTTCTAGCCGCTTTCTTTTGGCCAACTAAACGATATGTGATTAGTAAAGTCCCAATTTAAAATCGTTCACCTCAACCCAAAATTCGTTTCATGGCCCCTTTAAGGTGCCGTTTGGCGAGGCTTCAAAGCTGATTACGTCCCCTCGCTCTATGGGACAGTTAATGCTTTCGCATTCAAAATAAAGTTTCGAGAGTTTGGTGTGCCTTTTAAAAACAAAATAACGTCACCGGTTTTTTTTTCTTTCTTTCTTTTTTACATCGCATAAATTAGAAGAGCCATAGAAACGACGTGTATATTTGCTCCTCTATGAAAAGGGAACTACTGAACGAGTTTGAATCGTTCAGTCGTAATTCCTTTAATGGTGTAGTAAAATGCAAGTCGATTTTCTTTTTTGAGCAGGTGTTTTTCGGGACGACACGCAACCACACAAGTTACGTAAGAGGGATCGGTGGCCGAGTGGGCTAGCGCACACCAGAGGCCCTAATCTGGACACTTGGCGAGAAAGTCGGCGAGAAATCGGGCGGCCGTGATTGGCTAACGCCGCACTTGACCTTGGCGCCGGCCAATCAGAGTCGCCGGATTTCTCGCCGACTTTTGCTCCAAGTGTCCAGATTAGGGCCCCAGGTCGGAGCACGTGGAGCGAAAGCTCGCGCTGCAGAACCCAGGCATCCTGGGTTCAATCCCCATCCCTTTCCATCTGGAGGAGCATCGTACCGGCGCGCGGTCGTGTATCACTACAGCGTGGTGCACGTTAAAGACCCCGGGCTAGCGGTTGTACTGCACTGGCTAAACTTCTCGTATACAGTGGGTAACAATTTCGCCATGTTCACGCAGACTAACCTCCCGGAACAACTAACGACTAATTAAAAGTTACGTTACCTAGGGCTCCTTGGTGTTCTTTTGTCTAAGGTGATGCCACTCCTTGCAGTACCCGTTGCCGACTGTACGCACTCACAGGGAAAATACAAAACCCGCTAAAAAAATCTTGCCTTATCGCTAGTAGCACGGGCAATGCTTAAAGCTCGTACCAGCACACATTCTTTGACGTGCGCTCCTCGCATCTACCGCAATGAAGGAAAGAGCATGAAACGCATTTACATTACTCCAAATTCACCGAAGGATTTTGACATAATTATTCATTGTAAACCTAACAGTCCTTGTAATGCGAAGACGAGGAAGATTATACACGCCGCGCAATCACCGTCGCATGCTTAGACTTCTCCTCAGGAGTCCAGATTTCTTCCCCCTCTCTTTTCGACTTGTGAATAATATATGCTTTCCGCATCTAACCGGTTTGATCGTCCGGCTATCGGCAGGGCGGTGTTTTTGCGCAAGACGCCCTCCTTCTTACATCGTTTTTATTTTCCTCATCGCGTGCACCCATGTTGCCTTGTTTGAATCGCATCATAGTCTTTTCAAACACGCCAGGGACACCCATCGGAGATTGGATCTTGAAATAAGGCGAGTCCACTGCACACACTTCAAACTTTGGCTACGATTTCTGCAAAAACACTTTTTCAAGAACAGACAACGATCATTGGGACGGCGGCTGTTATTGGGGTTATTTATTTTGCCTCGAGTTAACGAGATGAAACCGTACCTTGAAAGAAGAAACATGACTTAGCTTTAGACACACGACTGAGTAAACTTCATTTGCAGGTAGCGCTCTGTGGTGTTGGTCACTTTTACTTGTCCGATTTTTTTTTTTTTTAGCGCTTTCACCCTCTGAATTATGAATCACCAACTAGCCCAAGTGCATACCCATCTACGTAAGATGACTGAACTGTCGCGTCCTTGTTGTTGTTTTGTTTTTCGCTAAGAAGTGGTAGACTGGATATTACTTTAGAGTTTGGCATACTGGTTTCTCAAAGCAAATGAAAATAACTGGAGTAAAAAAGAAGAGAGTTACAGAAAATCAAAAAGAAACAGCACGCGATTTGTCACTGTTATTAAGAAAACGATCTGCCCTCTTAATAAATTGTTTAAAAGCGGACGCATTCGTAGAAATTTAATTTAAGATAAAGAAAATCCGAAAATAGGTCTCAATGGCTATAGTTCATACTATCGGGTAAAATATTATGGACACACCGGTAACTTCATCACACAGCCAGTAAAAGGTATCACTCTATGATACGTTTTCTAGGCTGATCCAGTTTCCAAGCGCCTGTGAAATTTCAGCTATCACCTGTACGGCCCGATAGGCTTATTTTCTTTTTTCCTTTTTTTTATATTTTCAGTCATAAAATTTTCTTATATATTTCCTTTTTTTTTGACATTGGCAGCAGCGGCAGCATTGAACAGGCACTACCAAACTAGTCCCCTGTATCTTTCAGATAACAGGAGCGCTGCCGGGGCAACGTTGCCGTGATTTGATCGGACATCAAATCTGCTGACTTCGGAGCTACGAGCCTGCCTACTCCAGACAAGGCTCGGTCGACCGTGACGTCGCCACTGCTAACATCAAGCGCTTCCGTCGACCAAGCTGAAGCTACAAAAGGCACCTCAGCGGATCCTTCCCTTCACATTGGCAGCAGCGGCAGCATTGAACAGGCACAACCAAACTAGTCCCCAGTATCTTTCAGGTTGCTGTTCTTTTATTCCCTAATACCACGTTTCATGCCGCTGCTGCTGCGCTGCCAAGGTGTAGCCATGAGTCCCAACGGTCAGTGTAAAACTTGTGAAAAACAATTCGTATCGTCCGTTGCGAAAATTGCGTGCAGCGACTGTGGTGGTAGCTACCACACGGGAAAATGTTGTGGAATTTCTGACAAAACAATCGAAACGAAGAGCGAAGCGTACCGTTTAGCTTGGCGCTGCCCAGCCTGTCGTCGTTTAAAATCTTGTGCACAAGCTCGGGATCCTACACTGAGTGACGATTTCGAAACTCGCGATGTGCAACAAATGCTAAAGGGGATCAATGAGAAACTTGACCAGCTCTTGCCGCTCAGAGAAGTAGTTGAGGGCATTGAAGATTCAATGCAATTCTGGAGCGAGCAGTACGACGAACTGCGGGAACGAACAGAGCAAAATAAAAAAGGACATCAAAGACCTAAAACGCAGAACGGAAAAACTTGAGGCGCAGGACGTTGAAGTTAATCAGTTGCAATGCGAAATCGATAACCTTGAATGGAGAAGCCGGCGCCTTAACCTCGAGGTTCACGGAATACCGGTAACCGAAATGGAAAATTTGCTGAGCAAACTAAATGTACTTGCCACACAACTCGAACTGCCACAGCTTTCTGATATGGACGTGGTGTCCATTCACCGTCTGCGTTCAAGGAAAGATAAAACGCCAGGCTTAATCTGCCGCTTTGCAAGGCAGGCTGATAGAGATAGATGGTAGGAAAGCAGAAAGAAGTTACGTGATTCGAATGACACTCTGTCTCTACTTGAAAACTTGACAAGACGATCCCGTTCTCTACTTTTCGAAACAAAAGCCTGGGCCAAAAGGAACAAATATAAATACGCGTGGCATAGCAATGGCCGAGCGCTTGTGCGCAAATCTGACGGAAGCCGCGCGGTGGTAATCTCTAATATTGCCGACCTAGATAAGCTTCGATAAGAACTGAGCAATCGACTATCTATGGCCAAGTGCAGCCAGCGAATCATACTACTTCCGAATTCATTTGAAAGGCATCTAGGAAAACCGTTCCTGCAATCGTTTAAGTGTTTTCACTTGAATATACGCTCAATTAAAAATAAAGAATCCGATCTCTGTTTATTGTTTGATAATTTTGGACTGCAATTTCATGCAATATTGCTAACCGAGACATGGTCAACTGACGAAAAAAATTTATTTTGTCTCCCATCGTATAATATCTTTTATTGGAATCGCCCTAGTAGTCGCGGCGGTGGAGTATGCATTTTAGTCCAAAAAAAAAACTGAAATTTTGTCAGACCTTATTGTAAATACAAGTGATTGTGAAGTTGTGTCAATTCAAATACAAAACACGGCAATTGCCGTTTGTTACCGCCCTCCCAGAGCTACCGTCGCTACGTTCTTGGATTGCTTAGAATCGATTTTTGACTTTATTACACAAAATCGTTTCAATTTCCTCTGCGGCGGGGATATGAATATTAATATGCTAAAAAGTGATTCAACAAGGTCTAAACTAGATCTTTTACTAACGACGCATGATTTGCAGAATTTCATTATGCTACCCACAAGAGTGACTGAGCACTCTTCATCTCTATTTGATCTGTTTTTAACAAATATAAGCTCGAACCAAGTAAAAGCAGGGTGTTCGCCTGTGACCTAAGTGATCATCTACCAATATTTATCTGTACGAAGGAGCATGTAAAAAATAAAATATTGCAGTCGGCATACCCAATACAAAAAAATAACAGAAACAAACCTGACCATCTTTCGTGATAAAATTGCACAAACAGCTTGGGGAATTGTACTGAACAGTATGGACGCAAATGACGCCTACGATGAATTTCTCAGCAGTTTAAAACCAATATATTCAGAAAGTTATCCTCGTGTACGTATTAGAAAAAGCAGAAAAATTCGTAAGCCATGGGTTAACTGCGAGCTTCTCGCAAGTATAGATGAAAAAAACAAGCTCTACAGCCAATTTATTAAAACTAAAGACCAAGAAATATTACGTATATTACGTAAGTTTAAAACTTGTCGCAATTGTCTAGATAAAGAACTAAAAAAGGCAAGACGCGAATACTTCGCAAATCAATTCATTTCTACGGCAGGGTGCTCTGAACTAATGTGGAAAAGATTAAATGTCGTCTTAAAGCATAATGTTTCCCCCGACAAAGTCAACAAGATAAGCACAAATAATGGTGAGTTACGTGGAAAAGCACTTGCAGATGCTTTTAACAAATATTTCGTGAATATTGTCACTAAAACCGTAACCTTGTGAACATTCTGTCCAACCCGAATTCTATTTTTCTTAACCCTGTAAATGAACAAGAAGTTATTACTACAATTATAAATTTAAGCAACAGCAAGGCTAAAGACGCTGATGGATTTCAGTTAAAACCAATTAAGCAGGCTATTGAACTTCTTGCCCCTTACATAACGCATATATTTAACCTTTGCCTTAGTCAAGCTGTTTTTCCTCGAAGAATGCAAGTTGCCCATATAAATGTGTTGTATAAGAAAGGTGATAAAAACGACATGGGAAACTACCGTCCCGTGTCGATACTTCCAATTTTTTCAAAATCATTAGAAAGAATAATTTTAAACTGTTTTATTGACTTTGAGCAGAAGCATAACGTTCTAAATGAATCTCAATTTGGTTTCTGTGAAGGACTTGGTACAGAGTCCGCACTGCTCGCGCAGAAAGAACTAATCTTGACTGCACTCGAGGAAGGAACATTGGTTCTTGGTATCTTTGTAGATTTAACTAAAGCATTCACTGCTTGTTCAAAAACTTCAACGTTATGGTTTTAGAGGGAAGGCTGCATCCTTAATCATCTCTTATCTACATCATCGTTTACAAACAGTCCGTATAGACGATCATTTCTCCGATCCACTTCATGTTTCTCGCGGCGTACCACAGGGGAGTACTCTGGGTCCTTTTCGTTTTAATATTTATATAAATGACATCCTCTCTGTTGGATCAGATGTTAATATGATTATTTACGCTGACGATAAAATGATATTTATAACCGGAAATATATATAATGCGATAGTCGATAAAGCAAATTCGACGTTACAAAAAATAGACGAGTGGACGTGCCAAAATAGCTTAAAGATAAATATAAACAAAACTAAAGCCGTCTTATTTCGTAGTAAAAATAAACGTGTGGTGTTAAATCAACCAATAATGCTTAATTCGACACCTATTGCAGTTGTCTCTATAGATGTAAGGTACTAGGGGTTGTTTTTCAAGAAACTTTGTCGTGGGATACAGACATTGATTCCGTAGCCGCTAAGCTGTCCCAAATAGTCGGACTTGTTTATCGTAATCGGCACATTCTGCCACGAAATATTATGATTTTAATTTATAATAGCCTGTTCCCATCTAGGCTTAACTACTGTCACTTAGTCTGGCCATCCACAACTCAAGCAAATCTGCATAAAATACATGTCTTACAAAAACGGTTCCTAAGAGTTGTTGAAAATATTCCATGTTACTTTCACACACATGAGTTGTTCGTAAAATATAATGTATTGCCAATTCATAAAATGTACGATTATCGGCTTTCCAAAACTTTTAAACAAGAGGTAAAAACTAAATCATCGTTTTTAAAAGGACTAGCTAACTTACAAAGTAATACTACCGCCTACACAACGCGCCATGGAGCCTTCGAACGTTAGCACTTATAGAACACTCTAGGGCAAGATACGCTGAAAAACAAACTGGTACGGTTACTGAATAGATTAGCTGCCGAAAATGTCGAGCTTTTAGATATTACGTTTAAAGCATTGCGTTGTTATTTCAGCCCCCAGTCGACTTTTCTTATGTAAAAAATGCTGTGTAATATTAAACGTGAAACTAGTTGTGCATGTAGGTGATCTTGTTTTTTTTTTTTTTTCTTGATAATGTTTTTCAAGATATCCTACAATTGTGTGGTTCTCACGTAATTTGAGTGGGTCCATTGGTGCTTCTCTTTATTCTATTTATTTTGCTTTTTCTGTTAATGCTGTAATCTGAATGCTATGTTTATTATTTTCTTTTTAGTGCTGCAAATGCCAATGTGGGGGCCGATGGCTTTGTCAAGCTGGTCTTGTGACTGCTTTTTCCACAAGCCTCCAGTATCATGTACGCTGTATTTGATGCAAATAAAAATCAACAAGAACAACAAAATACAAATGTATACTAGGAGATAGATATGCATGCATTAGCAGAACATGTACCCTCTAAACTTCTGCTGCCACATCCTTGCCGTCCATTCTAATTTGGATTGCGGTTTGCAAGCATTTTTTCTCTCACTTTTTTATCTTAATTTTTTAATGTATATTCGTGTGTTGATTTTTTTTTGTACTAGCAATCACGTTTAGCAGTTATAAATCCACATATTTACATAACAAATCAAATTTGCAACTAGGGCTAAACCGACGCGCCGACCCGTCATGACATTTGTCAACATGACTCACAAGATTTCTCAAGCGGATTTGGAAGCCCAGAAAAAGTAACGTCACGGATTTTGTAGAAGCTTCTTCGGAGACAGGTCCGGCTTGTGAACACACACCTTTACTGTGAACGAGGGGTGGGCAACATACGTGCAACAATGTATCTAAATACATATACGAAATACGTTAATTCACTTCGAATGCAATTACAATTAATCTAAAGTATGAAAATAAAGATAAAAATACAACAAACAGTATTTACCAGCTTCAAAATCCTAAGTTAATCCCGTCGTTTGATATCTCGACCAAAATTGAAACCAAATAAAAAAAAAAAGCCGGTACTGAAATAAAGAGTGCAGTTCACAAGTTATGACAAAAAGGTGCTTGAAGATATAAAGGGCTTAGAAATAAAAATCATCTGTCCTAATATATGCACGTATAATACGCGACACAGTCAGTACGGACAATCGACCGGCGAGATATTCTGGTTTTATTTTTTTTATTTTATTGTATTGTGTTGTGTTATTGTCATCAAATTTACTATAGTGGGCCAAATTAATCACTTTGGAGCATACACTGAAGGGGTAAGTTTGATACTCATCAATTCCACGTCTACGTAAAATGCTAAAAAGTGTCTTTCACGCTGACTGTGCTGCGATTGTAAGAACAATACAATGTTTGTTTGTTTTTGTATAAAAGTTTAGCTCGCGTTTAGAAGTAGTAAAGTATTTTCAAATAGCGTGTCGTTACTGCAACGCTTTTTAGGACACAAAAGGAAAGGCACCCGACCAAGCAGTCAATAATTCTACCCCGCCCGTGCATTCGTTGTTCGTTTTTGATTTCGAGTTCTTTTATGCTTGCTGGCAATTAGGGTGGCGATGCGGGCAATATAGTTGGTTCATACTTAGTAAAATCAACACACAGCACAAAAAACAAAGACGATGTAGAAGGTCGTACACAAGACAATCACCGCTTGTCTTGTGTGCATCCGTTAAAATAAAGAGTGCGCAAATAACGTCAAGGCCAAGGCCGGGCTACTACATTTTTTTTTTATAAAGTCGCACCTCTCTTTCTCTCGCTCTCGTGTCCTTGACATCACTCGAATCGCGAAGAATGCCCAAAATTGTATTTTATTAGTATTGCAGTTGAAATACAGATTTTTTTGGTACTTAAATTCAGTCGTCAAACATATTTCCTAGTATCGAATTAACACAAAATACTCTAAGTTTTATAAATTCTTATTTCAAATAGTATAACCCTTCGAAATAATGCCCATTTCTGCTCCGGACCAATATTATCCATTGTCTGCCCAGAGTAGGGCCAACAACATACATGGCTCACACCAGGTCCATCTCGTCTGTTCTACAATTCGACAACAATAGAGCGGCGGAACGCGGAAATCACAATATGAGCAGCTGTGAAATGTTTCTTGGAAGCCGCGTCCTTCTCCTCACGGAGTAGGAGCAGTTTAGAGGGCGTACAACAAACACCTTGCTTCTTTTTCTTTCCTTTTCCCTCGGCGGAGAAAATTGACTGAACGTAGAACGAATCTTAAGTCCCACTCGGTAATTAGCTCGCTCACGTTGCGATAATTCATCTGTGATTCCTTGCCCTCAGAAACATCTTCATCATTTCTTGATTCGTAATATGTCTTCGGTCGTAAAATATTTTCTCCGTCGATTCTCTCCGACACTCAACGCCTCCGCGATCGATGCCGTGCGACTCTGCAGAAGCACGTCGTTACGCATGAATAAAACTTTGGGACAGTTCTTTTTTAAACTACTGCACTCTGCTGCCTTGACGCACGAGTCTCTGATTTGAAAGTTAAAAAGAAATCGAAAGGCGTAACCTTGACCGCATTAAACGGGAATAAGGTCAGCGGCGTTGATAGGAAACTCTGCGCGCTGCTGCCGGAGAGTGAGACGAAACACGCGTGTGTTTCAGCTGTCCGCGATGAGCAGTGCTGCGATCTTCAGCGTCCTGGGTTACGCGCTGCTGCTGACAGTGCCCGTGGTCCTGGCGTGGGCGCTGAACCGCCGTCGGCGGCATGGCGTCTTTCGAAAGCACGGCATCCCGGGGCCTGATCCGGATCTCTTTGGGGGAAACTGGAAACAGCTCAAGAGAGACCGCTTGCAGGTAGTGCAATCTATTTGCGCTTGCCATTATACTTCGTTTCACCCAAGGTAGAATCGAAGTGAACCCTACGATCATAAGCCGGTCTGTTCCTTTTCCAGGGCTCATTATTTTTCTTTTTCACTCTAAAAAAAGTCTGTGCGTCTACTTTTACGCACAACACTCGGAGAGCCAACCACCGCACCTTACGGAGGCAGCTCAGTGAATGCCGATGTCTTAACATATGTTCCGGCATCGTCATTCGCTAAGCTGCCTCCATAAGGTGCGGTGATTGGCTCTCCGAGTGTTGTGCGTAAAAGTAGACACACAGACTTTTTTTTAGAATTATTTACCAGCGGTCAGTGGACGACTCGTAGTACTTACCAGAGTCACCACAATACATTGTCAAGCACCCTTCAGATAAAAGAGCGTTATCTGTCTCACGGAAAGGCCACGTAGCCTCCAACGCCATCTTAAGAATACTTCCTCACTCGATCATGCAGTCTGCGCATGGTTCAATGTTGCAATAGTGATCACAATACTTTCACGTTTTGTTTTCTGAAGTCACAGGGAGAGTGTTTTGGTTGTCCGAAGTTAAGGAAGAAATTGTATTTGTTTTGCTCTTCCGTTATATCCGAACCAAATGTGAGCAACGATCGGGTGGCGACACCCCGTTCGACGTCGCGAGGACCGTTGGACGCGAAGATGTACAACTGATGAGATAAACTACAGATAGAGTTACTATTGTTATTCATATCAAGAGTGCCGCTCCAATACGCCGTTACGTACGTTAGATATTGCATCGCCCGAGGACTATGGTCACTGAGAGCGGAAGAAACGCGGGGCGTGGCGGTTCCAGAGCATCTCATTATCGCTCAGCAGCCAATCAGATTGAGGAATTGGCGGATAATAACGCCGGAGAAGGAATTATGATGGCAAGAAGCGTGATTATTATATTAGGCCACGCCCTGCGTTTCTTGAGCTGCCGGTGATTACAATAAAGTTACGGCGGTGTCCAATTACCATAGTCCTAGAGTATATAGGAAGAGGATTTCTTTGGTTTTCCGATGGGACTGAACGTTTCGCCTCGACGCAGGTGATGCAACAATGGATTGACCGATACGGGAAGGTGTTCGGATTCTTCATGGCCGAGAAGCCCTGCTTGGTCGTGACGGATCTGGACCTGGTGCGGCAGATTTTTGTCAAAGAGGCGCACACCTTCATAGACAGGGCGCAGGTCGTCCTTGAGGTGGAGCCTTTCAATAGTTCTCTGGCTTTTCTCCGGGGTAAGCATCATCTCCAATATAGACAGGGTAATACAGGGTACATTTCGGTGGTGTCAAACGAAGCACGGTGGAAGCTCGCTGCCACAAGCAACACCATCAACGTAGAACAGGTATGGCGCCTAATGAACACGTGCCATTAGTGACGTTTCAGTGGAGCCTGAAGGAAAAATCCATCAATGTAACCTTGTTTGGCAGTCAATGTTTTCTAGTGGACCGCTGACTGTGCCTGACTGTACGTCAAACATGTCTGATTGGCCAACAAGTCACTCTGACCGACAGTCAAACTCCAGTGAGACTCCACTTGTCGGCTTTCTGATGGTTTCCTGGTGGCAGTCGGCCGCCGCGAAATTCCATCAAGATGTCCTGGTGGCGATTCTGATTGTACATCGATTGGCTCTGACTGTACGTCAAAAAGCTTTGACGTGCAGACAGACGTACGGTCAAAGGACGTAAAGTTCGTTCGGATACCACTATTTTGTCAAATCTATGAATACGAAAAATAATCTATGCACAAAAAAACGATTTGGGGACGTGAGCCCATAAAACCGCTGATGTTAGAGATATGACACGCAGCCGACCGACAACCTTGATGAGAAGCCCGCCGAAACGCCGAAAACGCCACTTCGCTTCGCCCATAGAGGCTTCGCCGAGCTTTCATGAACGATCGCTCTCGACTCGTTTTGTTTGCTTGCTTGCTCCAACCTGTCGATCCTGCCCGGGCTCTACAGGGTTTCATGTCCTACTAGAATTTCTACTCGACAAGACCCAGCCTGTAGTTAGTTCCGACGATGTAAGGGACTTTAGCGGTGTAGTTGAAGACGACAAGGTGTACCAGGTCTACTGGGCCGGAGACGCGCGAACAAAAGGATCGTTCTACGGCGCGAAAGTACTCTACATGGCAGGTGAGTAGAACTGAAGTACGGCGAGTGATGTACGAGTGCTTTACATAACATGTTGAAGTCGTAACTGCATTTGCAACCGAAGCATCTTGTATAAAATGAATGGTGAAATCGGGGTTTCTAACCAAGGGCGTAGCACAGTGGCAATAAAGAAAAAGAAAAAAAAGGGCGTAGCACAGGGGTTAAGGTGTCCGATTTGTACGCAAGTGGTCGCGGGTTCGATCCGCGGTGGTCCTGCTTTTTTTTTTTCTTTTTCTTTTTTTCTCTCGAACATTTTGTTTTATTGAGCCATTTGGCGATATTTATGAGTGCGTATAGCTTTACTCTTATATAAATGCTGCCCTTGTTGATGAAAATCCCTTGGCAGTGGCAGTCAGACGTCATCTGATGGACCATCAGATGACGTCTTTTGGTCCATCACGTTCCATCAAGGCTGCTGACTGGCAGTCAGTATCCCAAATTACGTATCTTGATGGAATTTTCAATAGAAAGCCCTCTGATTTAGATGTATCGGCGATGTCGTTTGTCAGTTCCTGTGATCGCGCTGACTTAATCTCAATGGAGAAAATCAAGTTTGGTGACGTGTTCAAAGAACACGATAGAAATTTCTCGTTGCCTTGGCCAACAACACCAAGAATATTCAAAGCCTGTGCATTCGAATTTTCGCGCCATCGCATCACAGCGAGATCGAGCGAAGACACAGATTGGAGACGTGCGCTGCGTCGGCGTTAGGCATAGCCTCTTGTCCAATCAACGCGTCAAAATACGCTCGACATCGGGCCCCGTATCGAGCATTGAGCTTCGATTTTTTCCCGAATTGAAAAGATCCTGGCGGCGCAATGCCGCAAAAAGCATCTTGGTTACCGGTTGGCCACTAGGTCTCGGTTTCGATTGACCAACCTTACTTCACGACGTCGCGTCAAGACCAAATACAGTGCTCGCATTTTTGAATGTGTGACTTTCCTTAAATGTATCATACTGTTGATGTTGCCTATCGACTCGCATAGAATGCTGGGTGACGTTTTTCATGGGGGGGGGGGGGGGGGGGTGGTAATAACACAACAGAGCGACCGGCCATACTTCTATTCCTCGTTAAGTCTATGCAGGTCATGCGGCCACTGGAGGTCCGTGTTTCAACGGGGTTCTCACGAAGGTGAATGGGTGCAATGCAAGCGAGCGCTGAATTCCCAACTTTGTCAATGGGGAAATCGAAGCCAAAACCACGCAACTCCTCTCCGTGGCCAAAGAAGTGCCATTATGCAACGCGCGCCGTGTTCCGTGCCGGGATTTTTGGAAGTTGTTCGTAGGTACCACCCGACAGTGATGACGTTTCACGGAAAAAAAGAAGGATGTGCGCATATCTTTATGATTCTAGGTGGTGTTGCTTTGCTCGTTTAGTGGCAACACTAATATACCTCTCGCTCTCGGCGGGTGCTAATACTTACTCTCGAAAGCAAAAAAAAAAATCCCAACACTAGGTTGCCTGGAACGTGCCTCCGACTGGTGTTTTTAGTGTCTTGTACCGCCCGTGCATCGCAAGTGGTCCCCACGTGACACTAGGGGTGCCGGCGTGTCCTGTTATCAGGTGTCGCCATCATGGTGATTGATCGAACAAGTTCCGGCAAAAACTACAAACGAACGCAATCCCTGTCGTCGTGGCATACCAACTCCTGGCTGCTGGGGAAAGGATCTGTGGTGTGTCAAGCTGGACAAGGAGCAGAACAGAAATCTCCCGCGTCAACCTCCGCTGCTGTGGCAGCGCAAGGGTCGTGGCAGGCAGCAGAATGTCATTTCTATGACGTCATCGGTCGGAGATCGAGGGACCGCGTTTGAGGGCACGGTAAACACACCAGTCGGAGACGCGTTTCCGTTGAGCCCTGCAATGCATTCCATCCTATCATCCTGACTTGCTGCCTGTCCGAACAAAAAGTGTACCAGAGGAAAAGAAAAATACGTTCAGACTCGCAAATATAACAATGTGTATGTGTGTGAAATTCTGAACATGCTTTCAAAACCCACAAGGACTTTTGTTAATGTGTGTGTGAGTGCACGCGCGCGTGCGTGCGTGTGTGGTGTGTGTACGTGCGTGCGCGTGCGTGTGTGTGTGTGTGTGGCGCGTGTGTGTGTAACACGTGTGTGTCTGGCGCGAGTGTGGCATGTGTGTGTGTGTGTGTGTGGCGCGCGCGCGGATGTGTGTGTGTGTGTGTGTGTGTGGCGTGTGTGTGTGTGTGTGTGTGTGGCGTGTGCGTATGTGTGTGGAACGTATGTGTGTGTGTGTGGCGCGCGTGCGTGTCTGTGTGTGGCATGTGTGTGTGTGTGTGTGCGTAGCACGTGTGTATTTGTGTGTGATAGTAGATCCTTGATAAAGTATCCAAACACTTGCCCGTCCTTATATGAATAAAGGTAGGGATGGATGGATGGATGCTAGTGGCTGTACTTTTTATACGGGGAGCTAGCTTGCGCAATTTGCTTCCCCTCTGCAATTTTATAACCATCACCAGGCGGTGTGGGATATCACCAGCGATAACCGAATGGATGGACGGATGGATGGATGTTAATGGCTATACCCTTTGTAACGGTCGGTAGCTTGCGCCACCTAGCCTAAGTCTAAAAAGACAAAAACATGTGATTCCTCCCGCCCTTCTGAGACCTATTTTCTCCTCGTAACTATCACCAGGCAGTGTGGGATACCACCAGGATGACCTTTGGAGAATCGGGCAAAAAAAAAAAAAAACTAAAAACATCACCCCCTGCCTTTTTCCCCCGGCGAGGGAGGCGCCAATTTTTCTCTGGTCAAACCTTGTTGACGTTATCTCGCACCGGACCCACTGGGAGACAGGGTTGAGACTTTTGGGCTGGAGCCACACGGGAGGGAGTCCCAATTTTCCTCTGTCCCGCCCGTCCCCAGCTGTCCTAGTTAGTTGTGCATCACTCAATTTTCCCTGGATAATTTCCACCCATCTTCTAATCGCCTCTTTATGACTGTAATCCTCTTCCGTCCTTCCATCGTCGCCAGCAAAACCCAGGGCCCCGGCCAAATTCGTTACCCCTTCAGGGAGGGCAGGGTGAAGCCCAGTGCACTTCAAAACCAAGTGCTCTAGTGTCTCGCTATCATTATGGCAGGCGGCACATAATGCATCTGTCACCTGAAATTTAGCCCTATACGTCATCGTCATCAAAACTCCCGTTCTCGCCTCGAACAGCAAAAACTTCCGAGTGTATTGTCAAACTCATTTTCCTTTCTTTCGTCCTGCTTTCGTGACTTGTACATTGTTAGAGCTGATTTCGCCTGTATTCTTTCTTCAAACGCTTTCTTTTCTGCCTCTTTCACGCCCTTTTCTATTGAAGTAGTGTAGGTATTTAAATGTAAGCTTTCGGGTTTGGTTTTTCCATTTTGTGTTTAAACTTTTCATGTATAAATTTATTCATTTTTTATTTATTTATTTGGTGATACTGCCAGCATTCTGTAGAACGTCCAGGCAGGAGGTGTACAAAAACAATATTCAAAAACAAGCGGAAGCAGTGCAAACAAACAGACAGAGCCACTACTCAACAAAGTGCGAGAGTAGTACTTCACTAAAAGTATCTGATGATCTCAAATTTACAACACTTTCAGGAAGCTTATTCCACTCACATGTGGTTCTAGGAAAAAAGGATGCTTTAAACAAAGTGGTTCGACACAATGGTTCGACAAGTGTTAATTGGTGTTTGCCTCTCGTGGGCCTTGTTTCGTTAAATGAAGCGCAATCACAGAGACGCAGTCGCAAATTACCTTGTATCATATTATAAAGAAACTTCGGACGTTCTGTTTTTCTCCGGGTTGCTAAATCACACAATCCCGATCTTGGGTACAAATCTGAAACGGATGACATAAAACCGTAACGCTTGTACACGAACCGCAATGCTTTTTTTTTTGCACAGTCTCTAGCATATCAATTGACAGCTTCGTATGAGGGTCCCATACAAAACATGTATATTCTAGCATTGGTTTTATGATGGTTTTATAAGCAGTCACTTTGGCTTTAGGTGAACAGAGGTTAATATTTCGTTTCCAAAACCAGAGCTTCCGCATTGCTTTACGAGCTATAAACTCAATATGTGCACTCCATGACAAATCAGAGGTAATTAAAACTCTTAGGTATTGATATTGTTTAACAGTCTCGAGTGGTACTCCATTGATAGAATATGTGAAAAACAAAGGGTTCTTCTTCCGCGTCACGGCCACACTTTTTACACTTCAGAACTTTTTACAGTTCAGAACATATTTCCTTTTATGCACCATACATGAACCGAAGATAGACAATAACTTAATTTGTCTTGATCAGACAGGTTGTTTATCTTAGCAAATAAAACAATCGTCAGCAAAAAAAATCGGCTTTGTACATAGGGGTGGTGTATCTTTAAATCGTGAATAAAAAATTAAAAGCAAAAGCTGCCCAAGGACCGAGCCTTGGGGCACGCCCGAGAAAACGGGTGACTCGGGGGAAAAAAACAGACAACACTAACCCACTGCGCACGGTTAGTAAGATAGGAATCAAGCCGTCGTAATATGTTCTCGTTACTGATGATGTAGCGCAACTTATGCAATAGTTTGTCATCGGAGACGCGATCAAACGGTTTCGCAAAATCTAAAAAGATAACATCAGTCTGTCCGCCGATATCAATGATAACCGCAAGTTCATGTATCGTATGAACAAGTTGTGTTACAGTGGAAAAACCCCGTCTGAATCCATGCTGTTCGTCCTGAAAAAACATACTGTCCTCAAAAAATACTGCAAGACGTTTGAATACGAAGTGTGCAAGAACTTTACTGGCCGTACATAAAAGTGAAACAGCTCTGTAGTTTTCGACGCATTGACTGTCACCCGATTTAAATATTGGTATCAACCTGGCCTTTTTTTCCATTCATCAGGCACGGCTCCCGTATTTATACTATGGCAATAAATCAAATGCAAAAACATTGCCGACTATTCAGCGTATCTAAACAAAAAAAAAAAAAAAAAAAAAACATTCGGAATGTCGTCGGGACCGTGGCTCTTCCTAACGTCAAGGTTAAGGAGGGCCGCAAAAACTCCCTCTTCAGTAATGCTGATGTCCGGTATCACTATTCTAGAACTCTCATAACTTAGAACTATTTCCGTTTCCACAGTAAATATAGACGTGAAGTACTCGTTGAAAGCATTTGAAATTAACTGCTTGTTGTTTGTTAGGATATCAGTGCACAGTTTCATGTCCGAGAAAGAACATTTCTTTTGTTTCAAAAACCTCCAAAACTTTCGGGGATCACAAAGCGTTAAAAAGACGTTAAAAAAACGGTGTTTAGTATTTTTAACAGAAGACCTCAACTGTCTGCGCAAAACCGGTATAGACGAAATGTTATTCCCGTTACCAAATTTACGAACTCGCCGTATTTTCCGCTTTAAATGTAGAATGTCACGTGCAATCCATGGGTTAAACTTTTTCACTCTCCTAATACGCAATGGAACACATTTCTGAATGCAGTGCTGAACTATACCTCTAAACCGTAACCACACTTCATTGGTAGTACTTGTACCAGGATCATACATATCGTAAAAAAGCGAATAGCTTTCCTGTAGAACGTCTAAAATATTGACATCATTCGCATTATTAAAGTTACGGTACCGCTTAATGTCGATAGTAGTTGATAAATCACAAGCCAACGTTAGAGTGCATGCTACTAAGGAGTGATCAGAGATACCTTCGACTATTTCGCACTGGGCACCTTGTCGTGCAATCTTAGAGGAAACAAAAACCATGTCAAGACTTGAATACCTTCCGTGCCCCCCGGGAATCATCCATTTTGGCCAACCTTTGTTTAAATTCAACTTACTAATTGCCTCCCTGGTCTCAAAAGACGATCGTCCCCTGTCCCCCTGTACTCCCTCATTTGGTGTTTTTTAATGTGCCCCCAGTGTCAATCTGCCTGCGCTTTTTTGTCGAATTTCTAATCCTGATTGAACCTCTGATTTTATGCACACTACTGCATTGCCAAAAGACAGCCCTGGTACCATCACTCCTTTTCATATAACTATGACCACTTCATATCTATTACAGTTCCATAGTGCCTTGAACTCCATAATAGCTAAATTTCGTTTCCCTTCCATAATTATATTCTCCTCATGCTCCTCTAGATATTTCCTTCCCTCATTGAACCAGACTCCCAGATATTTGTATTTTCCTACATGGTCTATTACAATGTCTTGTATCTTCAGTGGTTCCCTCTTTTCGTCGTTAAACACCATTACTCCAGACATGTCAGTACTAAAACTCATGCCCAAGGTGTCGCCTTCCTCTCGTCATAATCCAGCTAGTTTCTGTAATGCAGTAGTTCTCAAATGCGGGTCCACGGCACCTTTGGGGTCCGTGAAGGCATTCCAGGGGTCCGCGAAGCCCTACCTCATCAGTCAAGCCCGGCAATTAAAGTTGGCTTTTTTTTTTTTGATTAAGAAGAATCGTTCCAATTTTCGGGTGAGTTTTCTCGTGTGTATGTAAATGAGACAAGTCTATTTAACACTAGCCCATAGTTATATCCATTTATTAAATCATTATCATAATTAGCTATACCTTTCTTTCTCCTCACCACGAACGGTGTTCTCCATCATCACCCCCGATCCACAAGGGGTCCGCGAAACACCAATGGTTGAGAACCACTGCTGTAATGTATCCTGGTTATCTGCCATGAGGTACTATGTCATCTGCATGCATCAGTTCTGGTGTTACCTGTATTAGATTTCTCCCTCCTTCCATATAACTCGCATCAAAACCTAAGTTGCACTGCTCTAATTTCTTTTCCATTTTACTGATATATATCATGACGCGCAGAGGTGACAGTGGACAACCCTGCCTGAGTCCTCTTTTTATTGCTGCGGGTTGCGTAGTTTCTGCTTCCCATGTTATAACTACCTTATTATCTGTGTACACCTGCTGAAAAAACCTAACCAAATTTATATTTAAATTATACTCCTTCAGCTGACCCCAGAGTTCTTCTTGGCTCACATTATCGTACGCTCCCTTGATGTCCAAATAAGCTAACCATAAAACAGTTTGGTTCTTCATTGCTATTGCTATACATTGAGTGGTGAAGAAAAAGTTATCTTCCAGGTTTCTATCTCTTCGGAATCCATTTTGGAGCTCGCTAGTATTCGCATATCTTCTGTCCATTGTTCCATTCTACGCTTTACTATCTGCATAGCTAATCTGTGTAGAAGTTAACGCTATCGGGCTATATGACTTAATGCTGTCTTCGTTTCCTTTATCTTTATATATTAGTTTCATTTTACTTAGTTTCCAACCATTGGGTACCTCTCCTCCCATAATTACTTGGTTAACCACATGCCGTAACTTCAATTTGGTTGTTTTTCCTAGTGTCTTTATGAGTTCCATGGGTATGATGTCGGGGCCTGTCGCTGTACCTGCTGGAACCTTACTTTCTGCCTCGTCCCTTTCTTTTGTAGCTGTCTCCAAGCACCTTTCGGGTTCCACCCACGGTGGCCAGAGTTGGTTTTGAAGCGTCGTTGCTAACCTGTATATGAAACCTCGGCAACGTCAATAAGGAATATAGCTGTTTCAGTTGATACTTACGTGGTACAAACGCTGTTCTGCAGGTGAGGAGTGGAAGAAGGTGCGCACGGTGCTCAATGCCGCCATCACCGCCGGCAAGGTGAACCGTTGCTCTGGAATTGTGAGCGGATGTGCGAAGGAACTTGTGCGAGTCATCGAAAAGAATCACGAACGTGACGAGCCGGTCGATGTCGTGGACGTGGCCGAGGGGTACTCCCTAGACGTCATCACCAAGTGTGCACTGGCATGGAAGGTGGGTGCACGTGTGGTTATACGAGACCCGTGACACGTGAACACCATAAAATCCATCGTTTGGTTATAGACAGGACGCGTGGCAAGGCTCGAGCATATTATTCAGCCAGCCAGGTTGCTGTATAAGCCAATGAAAGTGCTGAAAAACAAATCACGAAGCAAAAATCATGAACGAAACAAACATTTTGTTCATGATGTCGTTTGTCCTTTTTACTACAGGTTATTCAAAACAAATTATGTATAGTACCGACAAATCTCTTCTATTAACAGAGTTGCTTTAACAACAGATGCTTGGAATAAAACACTTACTTTCTTAAAAGGGTTAGAGAGTTAGAAATTAGGGGTTAGGGAGAAATCATGCCGCGCTGCGGAAAGTTGCCAACGACAAATAAAACTAAGCGGAATATTGAATTCAGATAATAAAAACTATTTTTCTACTTTCCCGGTGTTTGTCGGCGAACTTTCCGCCCATAGTACAGAACACGAAAACGGCGTTGCGCGACTTTGTTTGTCTGTGCGTTTTGAACTGTTTTCTTGACAACTTCAGTTTCCTTGGAAACGTTTTCTTCTCCGCATGTTCAGCGTCGTGTCCACCAGGCGACGCGGTGTTCGTCGCTCGTTTTCGTTTTCCGCAGTCGTTTCTCGCTGTTTGTCACTCTAGTGGGACGAGGATATCTTAAATACCAACATTATTCCCGTCGCTTAATTTTTGCTGTATGTTTCCTGTTATCTTGATGCTGCAAAACGTTCTCCCTTTATTAGAAAAGAATTACGAATAGTACGTCAACGTAATAACGTAGAGGTGTGCGAATATTCGCCGTTTTCGAATAACGAATCAAAAATTTTTCGAAAAATATTCGAAACGTTTTAAAATTATTATTCCATTCGATTAACGAATCTACTAGGGTTCGCTAATAGAATCGAATAATAATTTTCAAAAGTTTCGAATATTTTTCGAATAATTTCCGAATAGTCGTTACGGTGTCGCGCCGCGACATTCCCTTCACAGGCGTCCCACAATGCGCCAGCACGCCTGCCATACGTGCCCGCAAGACGGCAACACGTACCCTCTTCTCCTAGACAATGATTGTCGTCATCGGCAGCAGCAGTTTCTTTCTGTACCTACGTTGCTGTTGCCTCCATTATGGACTGTGTTATTAAGTATAACCCGCATGTAATCGATTTGCCTAGAAACGGGGCATGGCGACGTCTACCCGCTTCGCTCTCGCTCGGTCAGTCGCGCGATGAGGCAAGCTACACGAAAGTGGCGTGAGCAAGCGACCAAGGCGGTGAGGATGTTTTCTAGAAATCTAAACACCGAGCGACGCGACGAGCGACAGTGAGAAATCTCCGTCGCTCGCTGCTGACTCTGGTCGCTGTCGCTCGTCTCGTCGCTCGCTAATCGCTTACATGCGGTTCAGTCTTTAGGGACCGCTCTCGCACGAGACTGTGCGTGCACGGTTTCGGAAAGCGTGTCGTGGAGACGTTTCAGGACAGGCTGCTACGGTACCGCCGCTCTGTATGAGCGAAGTAGAAGTGGTAGAAGCGGGAAGTTGTACGAAGAGAAAGCGCAGTAGAGTGTGGAAGTTTTTCGGTCACTCCACCGCAACCAACTGAAGAAGCCACAACAGCTGCTTGTGTCGAGTCTTTCCCAACCTTTCCATGGTTGTTCCACTTGCTCAGTGTGTGAAAATGTTGCTTTTTGAGGGCGCAAGTGGAACAAGACAATGCGTCTTCCCAGAATGTTCTCAGATCAGTGAAAACAAAGTTCCTGGACGTAAGCAGACAGGCATATCACGCCCTCGCCACCTTCCTTGATTCTCGGTTGAAGGACATCTGCTACAAGGAATAAAACGAGAATGTAGAATTCCTACTAAGTACAATGCTTTGGGATGTACCAGGCTCAAGCGAACTGTGATTTTATGTTCAGCATCCGCGTCAACCCTCATATTATGTTTAGTATTCTAATATTTTAGTAGCTTTTGTTTCTATTTAATTATATATCGTTGAACTCTAGTTAATATTGTCTAGTCGCGTTTTTGCAATAATTTTAAGAAACATTTTGGAACAATAAAAATAATTTTATAATCTCGTTGCTCTTCCTTAGTAGCTGTCTACTTACTATTCAGAAACTATTCGGTAATTATTCGATTCGTATTCGTATTCCATTCGGTGCCACAATTATTCGATTCGTATTCGATTCGCTTTCAAAAATCAATGTTCGCACACCCCTACATAATTGTGGTTCTGAAGAGTGTCTGATGTCCACTTCACAGGCAAACTGTCAACACAAGTCGGACGACACGTTGCTGCTCGGGCTCAGGCGAATACTTGAAGATTTAGACTCAACCGTCATCGAGAGCACTCTCGCCCTGCCTGGAGTAAGGAGCATCCTTAAGCGTATCTACCCACTGACCAGTGTTTCTAAAACGTTCCATGGCATCGCCGAAAACGTGCACGACACTATCAATAAGCGACGCCAAGGACAAAGCCCCCGTGAAGACGACATGCTTCAGATGCTGCTTGACGCTCAAGCCGGTGTTGAGGACAAGACATACAACGTCCAAAAGAGCGATCTTCTCCTTGAGGACCGTCACGTCATTGGCAACTCCATCGTTCTTCTTGCCGCTGGCTTCGATACAACAGCTACAACGATTAAATTCACGCTCTACCTTTTAGCCGAAAATCCCGACGAACAAGAAAAAGTGCATTCCGAGATTGACGCCGTGTTACCCTACGATGATGAGATATCCCTAAACAGCATCCAGAATCTCAAACGCCTGGATATGGTGATCAACGAAAGCTTGAGGCTGTACCCCCCCGTTCCAATTCTCATTGCAAGACTGTGTCCCCGAGACATGACCGTGAGGGATCAGTTCATTCCGGCTGGAACCTCCGTTTTCGCTCCCGCTTGGCACATCCACCGAGATCCCGAGTCCTGGCCCGAGCCTGCCAGGTTCCTCCCAGACAGATTCGCCGAAGACCACCCGGAGCGCCATCCGCTCGCGTTTATTCCCTTCGGCCTAGGGCCCAGGTCCTGTTTTGGGAAGAGATTAGCTTTGCTCGAAGTCAAAATGGCGCTTTGTGAAATTCTGCGAGAGTACAGGGTGATCCCAAGTGAAGAGACGGTCGATCCTATTCCAGTGACGGTACCCAATCTGTTACTTCGCCCAGTAGGCGGCATCAAACTGAAATTCGAAAGCAAAGCAGAGCGGTGAATGAACACTTTTCACGGACCATGTGACTTACCACACGTGAGCGAGTAAACAGGGTTGCAAAAGTGCGTTTTGAACGAGCATAACTGAAGTGTTGCACAGCCATGGTCACTCACAACTTGGGAAACGGAGGGCGTGGCAGGGCATCGTACTATTGCTCCGCAGTTGACTGGATTATGTTTTTCGGAGCCGATAAGAACTCTGATGAACAAATCACAAAGCAAGAAGCGTGAACACACCTGGCATTTCTGAAGCTCTCATCCCAGGCAGCACAGACGTGTAGGAAAGACGTAAAAAGAACGTCGATGACGTCAGGGACCACATCTTGAAAGAACGTCAAGAGTATGGACGTCAGGTCCCTTCGACGTAGTATGATAAAAAAAGGTAGATTTTACGTCGACATAACATCCCACTTGACGACCGTCAAACGTCGAATGCACATCTGAAAATGACGGGAAGTTGAGTGATAACGTTGTATCAACGTTGACATAACGTCCCATTTAACGACCATAAAACGTGGAATACAAGTTTAAATTGAACGGGATGTCAATTGATAACGTCATGTCAACGTTCCAAAGAGGTGGAAATGTCATGTCACGTATTCAGAAAAAGCCTTAGGATGTCAACGAATATGGAACGTATACTCGAAGTCTAGGAAACGTCTGAAACGTACGTTACGTGCACTGGTGACGTTACATCGACATACAATAAAAGTAAAGATAGCACCGCACACCTTAAAGAAGGTTATAGAGCCTCGGGCCGGCGTTCCATCCAAACATATATTCCACACTTCTAGAACGCAATACAGTGCGTCGACTGGAGACGTTATATCGATGTGTTGCTTTCACCCAAGTCCTGCAAATAAAATCTGTGGAACGGGAAATTGACTTCTTAGTGACACAGGAGGTCCCACGCGCAACCTAAATACAACGCCCTAGGAACATCTTAATGAATTGTTTTTATGAATGTAACAAACGTATTTTCACAACCTATAACTAGTTCGCCCAAAAAGTAACGTTTGTAAGTAGCACGTGTACGATGAGGAGCAATAAAATGCCGTTTGAAATACAATGTAGAAGGAGCCACGAACACCAATGTTTCCAATGACGGCTTATAAGATCGCACCTTCCTGCTAACACATGTGGGATTTTGCTAGCTACCAACTAACACAGGTACCGATAGAGTAACCAAAGGGTTGTCTCAACAGCGGCGGCGATCTCAAAGGAGCCGTCAAACCTAGTAGCCCGCGGTCCCCACATCTCTGCGGCAATGTAGGCGACGTTTAAGGCTACATTACCGCGGGTCGGTTCGATTAATCACCTCCGTCGGTGCCAATGATCGACTACCTTGTCTCACTCTCTCGAATATAGCGGAAGAGAAGACGCACGTACCAGAGTAAGGAAAGAGTCCAAGAGCATTTATTAACATACTCTTTTCAACGAAGTACAATGTCCCCATCCAAAATGCCACCCGCGCCGGCATGGTAAGAAAAGGTCCTTACCTGGCCAGACGCGGGGTTCCGGAGAGCCAAGACCGGGGAAGCATCGGAGAAGTCGCCGACACACGTCCTATCTCTTTCGCGGTCAACCGGACGAGTCCCTTTCCCGAAAGCGGGAAAACAAGAGGCGAACCCTCCTCGCCTGTCAGCAGTGATCCGCATCCGAGCGAGGGAACGGAAATCGGTACCCCCGGGAGAGAGTGAGAGGAGAGCCCCCCAAGGCAGGCGGACCTCCGCCTCACGAACAGGTCGGAGCTCACGGCGAAGGAGGACGAGTGTTCCGACCCGCGGCCATTATCGCAGCCATCGGGGAAGGGATACCAGAAGAATCCCCACACACACCAGTCACCGAATAATAATAAAAAAACGGCCTAGTAAGGGTTTAAATTAATAAATGTTTTATTAGCTCATAAAAAAGATCAAACAATGGCGTCTTGGACGAAGGGAGGAGAGGGAAGCACCGGGGGTTGTCTGTTGGTTATCCATCTTACAACTGTAAAGTTTGTACCCAGAAATTATGATTATTCATAACACTTAAAGATGACGCTAAAACTGAAACGGTGCGCCTACCTTCGTTTGTTTAAGCTCAATTTGTTGACATGCGAAGTAAAGCCAACCCATAACGGGGCCACTTGGAAGTCCTTCCGAATCATTGGCGGGCTTTTCGCGTTGACAGCTCCTGGGAAGAAAACACAACAGTTTGCAGGGCCCACATAGCTGTGTCTGGCACCGCAACGTAATATTCATGGCCAGCTTTCTGGAACACGCTGTTTTCGTTCCCGATTTTCACGACACGTGACGCCCCTATAAAAATGGTTAATGCCATTTGAAAGACATATTATTCCTAAATGGAAATAAGTGCCTACAAAGAGTCAATCAGCAGGTTACAGATGTTAATCGTCATTGAGACGTCATCCTGTTTACCCGGATGGCCATTTCGCCACCGTCAACTTTTTGCCGTTCTATTGGCTATTGTCGATGTATTGCCAGTGCATCTACATGTTAATGCTACTTGGCTACAGGAGGCAATCAAAAGATTATAAATTTTATAATCTTTTGATTGCCTTCAATAGCTAAATCGCATTAGCTAGTAAATACACTGGCGATACACCGACAATAACCAATAGAATGGCAAAAGGTTGACGGTGGCGAAATGGCTATCCATTTCGCCGTCACAAAGCTGCGACGGCAGCACAAGAAAAGTTTCCTATAAAAAAAATATAGACAATATAGGGACAAAAAAAGTCCCAATATTTTTTGGTCATGGATCCCCAGTCAAGGGGTTAGGAAATGGATTGATCTTGTGTGTTAAAATGTTTTTCAAAGCAAAAACATGCCAGGACTATGTTATGAAGTGTATAGCTCTTTTTACTGTGGTCATAATGAGGTGGCGTAGCCTTTGTCATTTGCCCTATAATGCTCAACAAACATAAAACTAAAACAAAAATTCTTGCAGACCAAGAGCCGTTACTACATGCAGTGCAAGTTTTGAGCGTAAACATTTCGGCAGAGGCCTGCCTAGTCGGGAAAAAGCTTAAAAATTCGAAAATATCCGTCCACACATGCACCGCATCTGTGTTCCCTACATAAAGGGGACTAGCGAAGCGCTGTCATGTACGCTGGCATAAGAAAGTATTCAGGTGTCCCACAAACCGGTATCAACACTTGGACGTATGATGCTGCGAATGAAAGGTCGTCCCTCTAAACAAAGAGCGCAGGACATTGTATATCCAATTCCATGCCACCTACATTGGCGAAACAAAGAACTTCCCAGAAAGAATTCAACAACAGAATAATAATGTCTGCAAATTCGATCACGAGCGCAGCGCTGTTGCAGAGCACTGTGAGGACAATGACCATCGCATCGACTTCGCAAACACCCTCATAAATGTTGAGACGAACTTCTGCCGGCAGCTTTTTATATTCATGGCATATCCAAACAACACCAGGAAACATCAATAGCTCCACTGGTACATTGCCATCATGTATAGTTCGGCTCTAAAGCTTTTGTTGGCGGAAATTTAATTAAGCGGGCTTATAAGTCGCCGCTTTATAGGAGGTATTAACTGGACGCCATATTTGAGGGCGATGTTTAGAGCGCATGCTCAGAACGAGCTCACATTAATAGCCTGCTAAGACCGGCAACCTTGATGGTGCTAAATGCACGCTACAAGGACTGCGGAAGCTCGCCGTCAGCACGCACTCAGCAGCAGCGCACACGGATATGGCCACCAGTGAATGCTACCTATACTGGTCAGTTTTCACGTTGACATCTTCGAAACTAAAACAAATTAACAAAGAATTATGAGGTAATCGAAGAATCAATTAACCTCTGGCATTGACGTGCGAAAGTAATGGTGCGCGATGAAGAACTGTTTCATGACCGCCGTCAATTTGTCAAAAGTGAAACTGCTTTTTGAGCCACCGGATGGCACTGAATATTTCAGAAAGGGTCTATTATGCGACAGTATTTAGTTTCATAGCCACCTCAAAGACAACGAGACAACGCGCTGGCCTACAGATCTATTTAAGGCCCCTATTCACAGTTTCGTTGGACAGCGTTTCAGTGCGTTTGACAGCGTTGCGTCGTGAGAAGAAAGCGAGCCTCCGGCACATTTATTCTTGGTATGAAGCGTGGAATCCAATTTAAGGGATAGCTTGGAAGGCGACATAAAAAAGAGGGGTTGTCGCGGTTTCTTGCTGGCCGCAACGCAGTCAAACCCACAGAAACGCTCTTAAGCGCAACTGACCGATAGGAGCCTTTAGTTCTACGGCTCCTCAGACAGACGTTCACTGATTATATCTAATAATTAAACACCTGATCTCACCCTTGTGGCAGTTATAATCAAGAGTGGTAGAAAACGTTAACATTCGTTTGCTGTACAGACGGCCAGCTCCTGGTTAGTATATGGCTGGTAGAGCGCTTCGCGAGTCCTGGAGAGGTCCGGGTTCGATTTTTGGACCTGGCGGATATTTCTAGCGGCGCCAAGTTGCTTAGAAGGCGAGAAGTGCGCTCCATTTCAGGTATGAGTAAATTTATTCATGCGTAAATCTAGTCCACCTTGGAAATTTCGCGTAAATTATTTTACGCACCTCATATCACCAATTGTGTGCAGTGTTAACAATGGTACCGAAACGTTTGGCTCAGTGCATAATATCTCGCTCTTCCGAAGCAGTTTCTAAACTCGTGCACTCACGCCCGTACATCACAGGAAGATGGAAAACAGCGAACAAAAAACATATAAACCAAATTTATTTTATTTAAGTGAGATTTTTTTTAATGTAATTTGGCATTATATCGTTTCAATCACTTTACCTTAACATAATTATTTCTGCTTTTGAACTCGCGCACACTCGTCTCGTTGCGCAAAAAAATAGCTTTTTCGTTAAAGAGCCTAAGGTGCTGATATGGCCTTGAATAAAACAAAAGCACCAACCTCATGTAAGACCCAACGATTATACCAGCCAATGCAAATCTACCTTAGATTTATAACTCAGTCTGTGTCTCCGTGACTATCTATCTGTCCCTCTTTCTTTCTCTCTCTTTCTTTCTCTGCCGGTCTGTGTGCTTTTCTGCGGACGCATGTTTCTTGTGTTTGTTTCCTTCCTCTGCATTTCAATTTGCTTGCATAGGATGCCAGAGAACTAAGCGAAGGAAGTGGAAGGTAGAAAAAAAGTTCCTCTCCGATTTACTCGTAAGAATACCGCATGTTGCTTGTGTTCAGCCTGATATATATTTTCCCTGTTAGGTATACTTTAATTAAATACAAAATAAATTCGCCTGAAAAGCATTAAGTAAAAAAAGTGATAAATAAATATATATTTTGGGATTTTACTTTTAGCAAAAGTAAAATTTCAATACCACGGTAATGGAGTACTTCAAATCAATAATTATTTTTGGCTTAAAACCACGATTGCAACCATTTTTATTTATATTCATTAGCCTGGCTTTGCACGACCCTGGACAAATATTTGAAGATGAAGTATAACCGCAAGTTTTCAAGAACGACGAGCTTGGTACAAAACTTGAAAGTATAAAACAGAGAGGACGAGGACGGGAACAGTTTGTTTTATACTTTCAAGTTTTGTATCTATTAACCAACACGCTCGTTTTCAATTGTGACGAGCTTGGGATGCGGGGAATTTACGAACGCACGGTTATCCATCGGCTTCGCTTACTGCGATGAAGCAACAGCGCAGCCTCACTAGGAAACTCATGCATCGTGCGTTTCCTGCACTGTGAGGCAAACAATCTCATTAATAGCAGTGAAGAGCAAACACATGTCAATAAGAGTCGTATTCGTAGTCTTTTCCGTATGTAGTTGGTTGATCACAAGTAACAACCGGCCCTTGAACTCACCCCCCCTCCCGCCTCTCCAGGCCCA